AGCACTGGATCCTTGCAGTCAATTTCATAGGAACACTCCTCTGTTTGATCTTTTTGTCAAATTACTATGAAAGAGAGATACTCCTTCCTGAACTATCTCTGGAAGACAGATGGGGTGACATTCACAGACGCAGCATGACAAGTTTAACCTTACTAGAAACACCAAAGGAAAGAGGAAGTTTTCTTTACTGCTTAGCCAAGAAAACACTGCCCAGCTGACATGCACCAAACTTATGAGACTCTTGTTGGCAACAATACTGATACAGAATACCAGAAACAACTGAAAATCGTCCAAATCCCTGTCACATTTTGAGCTTCTCCCACTCCTTTCAAACCAGATTCAAGCCATATATAAAACACATCCTACAAAATTCCTTCATTCAAAGGTGGCAGTGATATGATATGACTGTAGTGTCATCTGCAATAGCTGAAGTAAATAACATGACAGGATCCTCGTCAACAACATGCTCTTCATCATTAATCCAGATGCTAGTTCAAAAACATATTGAATTTTTAAATTCCATTAATCACCAACAAGCTGTGCACAACTAGTCTAAAGCATAATTATTTACTTTCTACAATAATTTCACTGAAGATTTTCCTGTGTCTTCCAGTTTATGTCAAGGCTAACAAGTCAAAGCTGCAGAGCATGTACTTCTAAAATAAGGAATAAAAATAGAAATTTTGTTTTTAAACAGACCAGATCAAATGTGTTCAAAAAATTAACCCATGCACTTTCTCCTTATAATACTATCATAGCAAAAGGAGAATAGAGAACATGCAACACACAGCACTAAAAATCAGTATATGGCAGAAACCAAATGCAACCCACAGAAGTGCAATTCTGTGCCTCTATGACAAAGCCAGATCACATTCAGCAACTTTGAGAATGCAGAAGCAGGAACATGAAAATAATTACATTTTCTAAAAAAACTAGGTAAGAGCAGCTCCACACACAAACGCAAATTTAACTTCATAATTTAGTGAGAAACTAAGCAGTGTATGGAGCACTTGACTAAAATATCTTTTGTTTTCTAATTATCAAAAGTTATTTTAAATTATTTTCATATTAAATGTAACACAGTAGTGGTAAGTTTTCATTACATTTTGTGAATTTCCATTTTACTTTTAAGTGGAGGCAAACTCAATTAAAACAGATACACAATCTGCTGATATTCTCTTCAAAAGGTTTTACCAGACTTACTGAATTTTTAACAATTCCCTGTTTGTAAACTACCAAATATGAAATACCAAAAACTACAATTCACCAAAAGTATTAATATATTGTTTACACCACTATATCTTACTGATTTTATTGTAAATAAAAATCACACAACTGCTTCAAACTATCATTCATATTTAGGCTTTTATGAAGAGTATCTGATATGGTGATTTATTGTCACAGTATATTTCCCTATGCACAATTATTAGATGTTAGTCTGCCTATCATAATGCATTAGACTACCAACTCAATTTTTATCCTGTCTTCTAAACCATGTGCTTTATGATGGAAAAATTAATGCATCAATACTTACAAATTACAGATTTCAGTATTTTAAAATTAACGAGATTTCTTTATTATGAGTTGCACATTGTACGTTTAAAAGTCTACTTCCATTTTCTCTTTCATCACCATGTCAAAGTTTTGCAATCTGTGGCCCAGTAATCAATTCTTATGGGACAGTAAAGACCAGGGAGATCATATGGCATTGACTCCACCTCTTTCCTCCTGGCCATTTCTTTATTTGCCCAGTTATCACTGTAATCAGAGCAGCACACAAGCTTTTTCAGGCAGTTAGAAGGAAGGAAAAATAGATCTCCCAGTTTCCTCTAACAACATTTGGTGTGAAGCTGAAAAAGTATACCAAAAAATATAAAAGTATATTAAATATACTTTCATGGAGTAGGGGAGACATAGCAGGAAGAAAATACCAGACAATTGAGTTCTTTCCTACATTTTCCTAACAGGACAATAATTTTAACTATGAAAATAACCAATAATTTAGCTATAAAGATACAGTCATGAAACGAATTTAGCAGCATACAAAAAATGGCCTCTTGATTTCCCTGCTCAAAGGTGGAGAGCAGCTAGTCCAGCCTTCAAGTCCAGAGTTCCTGATTTAATGACTAGTTCTGTTTACAGCAGAACTAATGAAACTCAGTTTACTCCAGATTTGCTCCTATAAGCCCTGTGGCCACTTAACTTTAATTACATCAGTTGCCTCTAAGCTTACCCATGTCTCCTTGAACTCATGCACCACATAAAACTCCCCATTTGTCCATATATTCCCATACTCACACAGAGGCTTACTCTCACACTTTCATTAACACTCAGCTCTTTGTCATGTCTTCTTGTTCCACCACCTATCTCTGAATGGTGCTACAAAAGACAGCATATGCTGTAGCTGGTTTGAAGCTGGGTGCATGCTGGCTGGCCAGCTGGAGATCGCCTCTTCACTTCCAGGAGAACACCAAATGCCATGACCTCCTTGCCTTTATGGTTTTTTGGGGAGAGGGTTCTCAGATGTCAGCTTTCACAGACTAGGGGAAGGCAGTCTTTCTCAAACCCCTCTCTGTTCTTAAACTGGCTGAAATTGACTGGAGGGTTCACACTTACTCAGGAAGAAAAGACACAAAGTCAATGCAAATAGTACTTCCTTAGAAACCAAGATTAGGAGGTAACTCAGTTACAACCAGCTGCAATTCATATTGAAAATGCCCACTGATGCCCTCCTCCTGTCCTGTGGTTCAGGGCAGATTCTGGATTTCTCACTCTTCCATCCCACTCTTGTGGGACCAGGAAAACACAAAATTGACAAAAAGTCAATTTCAACATTTTTATACTGCACCCTGTGGGCAGCAATTAAACTGTCAACAAGAATTACCACTTCAGTCAAGTGACAGGGAGCAGCAGCAGGGTCTGGAGATATTTATAGGGATGGCACACCTCAAAACAAAAGCCATGGAAGGATAACAGCAGTTACTCCAGCTAGAATAGCACACACAGAACAGGGCTAACAGAAAAACGTCCTTGTATTTTCCTGGGGGCAGGGGGAAAGGATAATCACATTAGCAAATACTGACTAATAAGAAGCTAATGTTAATTATAAATGCAGAAAGAGAGTCTAACCTACAGAAACTACCTGTTGCTTAAAGAAACCTTATCATTTTTTTCCTCAATCCACTTCTTTGTGCTTTGGGGCCAGAGAATACCTAACACAAACCCTAACTGCTGCACTTTAAAGACGGCAATGATGTTCCAGTAAAGTACTACTGCGGAACTCTTCAGACCTAGAAATTATTTTCAAAACATTCCAAGGCTTCCAGCACCCATAGGTGACTAGAAGTGCATGTACATAGCATAATGCAGCTGCTGTGCAGCTACCTTGAACACCAGAAGAAATATGGCCACGTTAGCACTGCACTGCACCCAGGCTGAAGTATCCATCCTGCTTCTCAGGTAGTTTGGATCTATCCAAATGGTGCTACACTATGACACATAAGCACACTCTTAGTCACCCTGCCTCAGAAACCAGCTGTAACATGACAGTTCTTCCTTAAATTACCAAGAATTGTAACAAAAGAGCATCTGAAGAGAAAAACAGGCACCAAAGTCAAGAAGAGGAGCCAAGTTTTTACAATTAGCAGCATGCATCTTTCATTTAACATAACAGACGCAGACCCTGAAATGCCTTTCTCTCTTTATGTCAGCTCTGCCCCTAAAGTTTACAAATTATGGCTCTGACTTGTAAATGTTAGTAAATACCTCCTTAAACCTTACGCAGTGCTTCCATAATTGTATACAGATTCTAGAGACTACCCTGCAAGAATAACATCCAAAATAACATTCAAATAAAAATAAAGCATTCTAGACAATTTTCACATATAGTCAAAGGCTGAAAACACAAAACATTTCATAAAGAAGAGCATGAACTTGAATTATGAACTTGAATTCAAGAGCTTCTTGAATTATAGCTGAAGAATGGGGAAAAATCCAGAACTACATGCCCTAAATAAATAAATAAATAAATAGCTAAAAAACACACCAAGAAAATTAACCCAGAATATAGCAAAAAAAGTCGCATCTCAAGTCCACTTTCTGTTTTTGAAACAAATCTTGAAGTCTGGGACGAATGAAAACTAGAGTTCTTAATTCTGTGATTCACACTTCTCAAACTAAGCAATCTACAGTCTCTAGTACCAGACAATTGTTTGCCTAATGAGTTTGTAAAAAAGACAACATTCCACCCAGATCAGTGTCGAGATGTGAACGTCTCCCCCTTCCCAGCAGCAATATGGATTGCCCAGCGCAGTCCGGTGATTCCTTTTTTCAGCCTACGTAATGCCCATTTACACAGTCGTGATATTTTTAAATGTGCTTTCAGAAGCATTAAGTAACATAAAAACATGGAAGGAGACAACCACGGAGGTAGCACAGCACTCCTTTCACTGCGGAATTCACGAACAATATAACGACCAAATCCGAGCAGCACAATAAAACTCCATTTTACAGATTATGCATTCAGAACACCAACCCAAGGAAATCCTGGCCGTGTTTCCCCCCCCAACAGAGTGTGTCTGAGCACAACAGAGCATATCCTCTCTCCTTCGCTAACCTACACACACATTCCTACACCCCTTAGGAAAACAGTGACAGCAGGCATGAAAAGAAGGGAAACAATGACATTCTTTTAATAACAACGTTCACCATCACCGCGCTGGATCCAGTCGGACAGTGCTACGCGGCAGCAGTTTCTGCATTCCTCCGGATCAGCCGCATTCTCCCCTGCTACTCCAGGGGCAGCCTGATTGTCCCTCGTCGGCCAGGCCAAGCACCGGCCCTCTCTCACCGCGGCCGCACACGCCGCGAGGAACCGCGCCTGGCACCAGCCGTGACCCTCGGCTCTACGTCATTGTGCCCGGCCGGGAACGGGGCTATGTCGCGCCGGGCCCGCCGCCCCCCGCCGCAGCCCCCGGTCCGGCCCGAGCCGCGGCTCTTACCGCCAGGTCGGGGCTGTGCGAGTCCCGCTGGGACACGGCGCGGATGACCCCAGCCCGCCAGCGCCCGCTCTCCGGCGGTTCCTCGCCGCCGAGGCACAGGAACCGTTTCCCCACCAGCTCCGGCCGCGTCTCCACCGCCATTGCCGCCGCCGCGCAGGCACCGCACCAGCCGCTGAGCCTGCTGCTCTAGGGGTCGCGCATGGCGGGCGTGGGGCGGGGACGGGCGCGGGGCTCTCGGACTCACAGTGGAGGGAGGGTGGGAGCCCCTCAGCCGCGCCGCCACCGCCCGACAGAAACACTGAACGAGGGGTAGGGGCGGGCCGGGGGTGAGCGCTCCCTCCCTCACCTTCTCCCTCCCTCTCTCCCTCGCGCGCCCGCCCGCCGCGCTGCGGCCCCGACCACTCCGCCCACGCAGCCCCACTTCCATGGAGACCGACGCCGCGCGACGTCTCCCTCCGCCAGGAAG